TAAACACAATCAGTATTGCGTTGAGTGCGTTGTGAATAGAAGGAAATATTAATATTCATACAATATAAAATGAGTTCGTTTCGGTTCCTTAACACTTCAAGAAACTAGTGTGCTAAACAGAACATAATTTATTCTCGTACTTTCACGCAAAATTGTTGGTAAGTACATCAAATTTTCGAAAAATGCCTTATTTCAAATTGTATCTGTAAGAACATATTTCATCAAGGAAAAATGCTGTTGTCTTTAATATTTTAGATTGTAGAAAGACTCCGAAACAAATTTTGAACTTTTGCACGTGTAGAAAGATTATGGTTTTCAATTGAACATAGACCTCCCACCATTCTCGTTAAACGTCATTCACACTATCCAACAAAATGTAATAAAACGCTGGAAGCCATTTTTTTGAAAATTTAGGAAAACGTCCCAGGACTTAGTAAAGGCCCCAAAAGTAAAACATCCCGGTTTCAAATTCAGGTTCTAAACCTTAATTTCGAAAAAAAACAAAAGTTAAAAGTTTTTCGGTGTTTTCCTGCAAACAAAAATATAAAGATAGATTTTTTTCCTCAATGAAATCTGTTCGTTAAGATCAGATTTTGAAATTATGTACAATTTTTGAAAATTTGAGACTTTTAGTAATTTTTGGGTGAAAATACGGAGACAAAAGTTACGTACAGTTTAGTACAGCATTGTTTGAACGCAGCCCTCCCAAGCATGAGAAACATTAGCTCCATTGTCTGCGACTAAAGACCGAACTTCAAAACGTTCATTTTCGACACCACAACTCTTTATTGGGCCAGAGCCCGGGTAACAAAAGTAGATAAATCTTCTCCCTGTGTGTATTAACTCTTCCTCTTGCTCGATGTCGCAGGCTCGGTGTGTAGACGATGCTATAACATACCCCAGTAAGTTCTGAGAATCCCTCCTGTAATGAAAAATTTTCCCCGCGGGCCAAAACCCCCCGTTATTGCCCCCCCGTTTTTTTTAAAAAATTTTTAAGGGGGGGGCCCGGCCCTTGTTTTTTTTAAATGGGGTTTTTTTTGTTTCCGGTTTGTTTTTTTTCTTTTGGGGGGCCCCCCGAATTTGAAAAAAAAAAAGTTCCCACCCTCCTCTCACCTCGCCCGCGGACCCTTGTAAAGCATCTCAGGGCAACGTAAAGTTACAGCAAAGAGGGATGAGCGCTTGGGAGTGTCGACGCCTTAAAAACGGGAGCTATATAGCTAAGAGGAAATCCCTACAGAAAAACCATCTCGGGACCCCATCGTCACGGAAGGGGTTCGGAGGCCTGCTGCTCACCCGGCCCGTCGTGCTCCTCCGGCGACTGGCAATCGGACACTTAACGAAGTATGAAGGATTTTGTGAACCCTCCTCTTTGATCCGTTTTATCTGCTGTAAATGCCCATTCCGACACCGATTGGTCGTTAGGACAGGACCAAATTTTGTTGCTCCTCGGCCTGCATATGACGCCGGAGACGTAAACTACTCAACTTGTCTTAACAAGCCACGCTAGAGCCAACCTAACTGGAAGAAAACAAATACAAACTTGGATAGAACCTGGGCACTTCTAAAATAAAGATCAAAAGCTCGTGAGGTGGAAAATGAACGTCAAAACAAATATGGAATCCAAGACCAATGAACGAGACCAACGTAGTGGGAAATCTTTGGCGGCTCCTCTGCTACCCACCACCATCAGTTTCTAAAAAGCCCCGTAGAGATGAGGAAACGCCGCTAGGAAGCGCTACTCTAATGCTAGCGCTTTCAAGAATGATCAGCGCTTTGCGCAAAGTGCTTAGAACGGGCATTGACTGTAGTAGTGTCCCGATAAACAGACCTTAACAGGGATGAACGTTTAATGACCTGTACAAATACCCATCTGGATAACATGCCCCCGATTCGGCTTTCCGAATTAAGAGCAGGAGATAAATTGTGTTCACCTGAAATGGACCTAAGACACAATTCTATACAGGGTGCAAGTTGCCGAAAATTAACAAGTCGTCTGCTGGGATGAAAAATCCACGGCTCCAGGACAAAAAAGATAAAGTTAGCCACATATCCTCAGAACAAAAGTTGAAATATTCATCCCTATTGTGTCATTCTGGTGGAAAAACTAATTGCACCATTCCTCTATTACCAAAGAGTGTAAGATAATACAGTGGTCACTAACTATCGCCATTATCACAAATTAGTTCGGCTGCTGCAAAAATCTTATATAGCGCCTTAGGAGAAACGCATTGATCCCGTTGGTAAGTTTTATCCACAGCCAAAAATAGTTTATCCCTGAACCTGCTGTTTCCTAATATTCAAATTCTTCATGACTTCAGCTGACCATGAAAAAAAACAGAGGGTGGATTAGGTGATGTGCTTAATATTATCAAAAAGCATGTCCACTGTTCCTCAGGAGTGTCAGTGTAGTATTGCTGACGAGCTGATGCATGTTAGCAAAATATCCCCGTAGCTCAAGAATTGGTTGATATTGATTGGAATATCTTAGGGCCTTGAATGACCATTGTCCGTCGCAGAATGTTCATCATTTTTAAATTACAACTTTGAACGATCCTGTTTCATTGAACGTTCTGCTGGAAGCTGGGGAAGAAATTCCCCTTGTCAAGCAATTCATCATACTCTTACATAAACTAGGAGGAACTACTCTATCTGAACGGCTTCCCATCTAAAGCATCCATATCGAATTTTAGGAAGCAGTGTCGAGACTTCAAAAGCGCATTTGTTTAATCCCACTCAGAAGTTGGCATTACTTCAAACCTCCATAAATGCCATATTACCTTTATCATCTTTTCTATTCATTCCAATTCAATGTCGATCTCGGGAAATGGACGTCAAATCAGAATGCAGTCAAAACAGTTCTACATCTGATATGGAGTTTCTGCAACGCATATTCTACTTGCCAAGAGAGATGGCGACTGGATTGCTGCGGCTCGCCCCAACACGTTCTGAGTTGCCGCTGTCTGAAACCTAGGATTACGATTGAAAAATCTGCAGACCCCTATTGAGATGGTTGAGTTCCTCAGTTTCAGTTTTACCACTTGGACACTAAAGACTGCAAATTTCACTGAGAGCTCAACTAGCCCTATTCTGAACAAATTTAAAGCTTATAAGAGGAAATGCGCCAGATACGAGGTAGCGCTTGGAGAAACGTATTCCAAGGGAGACCGCTTTAGGCGCATATAAACGATCCTATTGAAATGCCCTTTTTTGAAGATTATCATCTTCTGAAACTGTCTTTTTTATCACTGCACTACAATTGCGATCAGAATACCGCTTGCCCATAAAACTACTCTTAGTAGAGAGCCCAAGAAGATGTTGACGCGGAAGCGCAAATACACGTAGAAACCATCGAATCACATCCTCGTAGCTGCATTTTTTACGAAGCAAATACGAATAAATCGCCAGTTACGAAGATCAAAAACTTATCAAGGAAGATGCTCCGGAATCATACACAGTGGTGTCCCGAAAGTCTCCGTTGCCGAAGGGCGTTAGACTGAAACCTGACCTAGTAATAAACCGGAAGGTCCACATGGTCCATGTTGACTGTCCCCACGAGGAGGTCTAGCCTTCTGAAAGCAGGAGGAAAAGTGTAAAATACCAACCAGTCATACCCATTATTATTAATTATTATTATTATTATTATATTATGTATTTATTATATTATATTATTATTATATTATTAATATAATAATATTAATAATAATAATGAGATAATAATAAAATAATAATAATAATAATAATAATAATTAATTAATAATAATAATAATAATTATAATAAAATAATAATAATAATAAATTCATCAAGCAACAATACTGAATGAAGAATAAGTTCCTTTGTGAAATGTTCATTCTGGCTATTTTTTCTTTCAATAACATTTTTTCAGCCATTTATTTAATTAGTAAAAAACTGTTGCAACTTTTCTTTGAGTTCCAAACCCTTTCCAACATTTAAAATATCAATATACATATTAAAATTAGCTCTAAGTCCAAGTGACATGTTGCTGTTTAGTGTGTGTGTGTGTGTGTTGAATGAATAAATATAATATAAGAATTTATGGAAAATATGCTAATATTTTTTAAAGGTGCTTGCCAAAATAATTAGCTTTGTAGGCTTTACGTGAATTCAATAATTACACAAATTTAAAAAATCACATCTTATCAGACCTAATAAATGTTAAAAAAATATTTAGTCTATTGATATCCGTACAAATCCAAATGTATTTTTTTATGGTACTTAGTATATGTAGTCTCATTAAATATATAATTTCTAAACTACTCGACGTGGTTTAAGAATTCGACGTGGATTATAAGAAAGTGTAAGTATGCCAATACATTGCATTTTCCTTAAAAAAGTAAATTGTGATGAATACTGTTTGATTCCATAATTCAATTAATAAATATGTGTGTATAACGGCTGACTCTGGGATCAGATACAAGAGGTATAAAATATTTGCTTTTAGAGACAATTTACTTTTACTATGATTATTTGGTGTATTAGTAGTATTACAGTAATGACAAAATTGTCTCTAAAGACAAAGTACATCTAATCCAACGTGCAAGTCATTGACGTTGATATAAAATAAACTACGCCATGTACCACATAAAAATATGTTTTGTGTCATAACTAGAAACGTTGGAGGTAAATAATCATTGCATTAACACAGATACGTGTGAACGTCAAGAGTTGTTTCAATAATGTATTGTGTGTGCAATTCATAGCAATGTAATGATGTAATGTCTGCAAGACCAGATTTTTCTTCTGTACCTGTGTTGTTTTGCTCTATAATATTATGTAAAATTGCTTTCAGAGTATATTTTATGAATACTATAAACAAACAGGTTTGTTTTTTAATAATTGTCAACCGATTCTACCCAACACCAATTATTTTGTTATTTTTAAATAGGCACAAAATTAGCTGAATACGTGATTAAGTGCCCCCGAGCCAACTGCTTCAACGCTCAAAAAGTACCCATTTTGGCTCCAGAATGCAGTGTTGTCAATTAACTCCTGTATCTTATTGTAGATAGTGTCACACGTTTCCTTTCCTATTCTTATCCCTCTATGCCGCCGTGGCGTTTACATGCATTGCACTTTCCCGGTACTCTCCGTGCGTTCATAAAACTGCACAAAGAGGGCTCTGCGTTCTCTCTTCGGTTACTCTCTGGTTGCACGTGTTCGTGTTAGTGTATACTGTATGTGCGGCGTATGGTGGATTGAGGTTAAGAATTTTGAAGTGGTAGACTCTAAATAGTGTATCTTATTACTTGGCGACTTTATTAACAAAATGGAGGATTTAGTTCCTGCTCCAAAAATTAATTTCATTCCATGTATTAGATGGGTAAAACGAGGAGTGGCGAAAGAGAATCCCGACAAGGTAATGTTTTAGGAGTAATTTCTGTTTGTGACACAGTAATTGTGATATGTAATTTGCATTATTCTACTCACTTAATTGCCATGTAGTCGAGAACATCTTAAGGAACACGTAGAGAAAACTTAGCGACCTGCTGGTCAGGTAGTCTTGTGTTATTTTTATGGACGTGCCAGTTTTAATGGGCTCCAAATCCTCTTTTTAACCAACACACTTGAATAATGAATAAAAGGTAGCAAAGAGCGTTGTTTTCAATATTGGCGTGTGCGTAATTAACAATTGTAATATGTTGCGAAGCCAAAAAGAGTTTTCCTTTATTCTGTCAGTATTGATGGTACATACAATTTAAGTTTTAATTTATACACATTGAACATTTAGTTGTGGAGAAAATCCTTGGTTAATTTTATGTCAGTCATAATGAAAATTATACTTTTAAAAATGATGGACAATGTATTCAAGCCATATGCATATGCTGAGATAGTTAACTTTTTATGGAAGGAGGCATCTCAGGAATGGATTTCATTTCAAAAACAAAATGTAGTCTGTGCCAAATGATGCTGAATACTGACACCAATGCCTTTGGGTCAAGAGGTTAAAAAATGGAAAGATGAAAGAGTATGATAAGAAGTATTTAAGTAAGCTTACATTTAGAAATGAATAAAGGAGTATGTTCTTCAATAAATTCAACCGGAAAAATGAGGGTAATAATAAGACTTGGTTTAGAGTATTTAGGGTAGTATAAATGCTAAGGAATAACACTATAAAGTACTATTAACAGTTATTATTAAAACTATTAATTATTTTGTATGAAGTAGTAGTGAGTGAATATAGTGAAAAATTACTTCATACATTGATTATTGAAAGTCATCATATTTATCAGTAATTTACTATTTATCAATTTATTTTTATATGATTTTCTTGGAAATAATCTATTTGAAGTTCAATTGCCTTTTGAATATAGTAACTTTTTTCTGTTCCAAGTTGTGATCATTGCAGACTATTGGAGTAGCCCAATGATACTTGGTCTGGTTAGAGAGACTTCTCTAGTAGCCTTTTGCCATACCAGATTAATTACATGAACCTTAAGTACAAAACAAAATTAATATGATGACAGTTATGTATTAATTCATTTTAGGTTATTTTTGTGATGTGATGTTTCATCATCTGGTCGTTTTTGTTTGTTCAGGTTGAATTAACAGAGGAAGAATTACAAGCAGTAATAAGTCAGACCAAGACAGAAATAGATGAAAATGAAAATGGGGAAATTGAAGTGAGGTATGTGATTAAATTTCCCCTTTTTACTGCCCTAAAAAGGAATATTCTTCAAATTAAATTTTTATTTTATTTTACAGAAATGGTGTTGAGGATGACAAAGGAAGCAATGGAGACGAGTTTGATTTCGCACACTATGACGACGATGATGATGGAGGTATGTTCAAATTTGTTCCTTAGGGGTTATCCTTAAACAAAAAGGTGGATACCTATATCACTGGCCATCAAGCTCTCATAACTTCTTTTTATCTATGGTTTCTAATGCCCTGAAATGAAGGGAATTCAACAATGTATTTTCATACTTTAAACTTTTAACACGATAACTGTCAGATACATACAAAGTTTTAATTGTGTAAAGCATAAAATGTTTACCACCAGGCCAGACATAAGAAATAAGAATTTTTGAAAATCATATTAGATGAAGTTATTTTATTGTGCTTTTAAGTAATACATGTCAATTTATCATTTTTTAAAATGTGGATGCCTGCTGGCATACAGAAGTAATTTTCTCCGTTTGGCATGAGGGCTGCTACAGCTAATTTATTCAAGAAAATGCATCCTAAAGTAGTTGTTGTTACAATAAAAAAAAGAGAAATGATAATTATCATTATAATTGATGATAATTAAGACAAGGAATGAACATAGATACAAGATATTAATAGTGACAAAGCTAGTAGGATTATGATGGATAACAATTAGTGTGTTTAGGTATAACAAATTGGGCAGAGCCATTTGTCAAAGGTCTGACGAGTTGTAACAACATTCATTCTTTTCAGAGCTTCTGATCTTCCATGTGTTTTGATGAACTTTAGGTAATACCTCTGGCAGCTTTTTGGTCTCCTGTCTTTCTCTTGTGTAATTGTGAGATAATAATTGCCTATTTTCTGACATGTGATTATGAATTTTGCTGGCTTCTTGATTCTTGTA